ATTGTAGGGGCGCGGATCTCAGTTCACACGGAAATGCCCCGGAAGCAGCAGGAGATCGGGACTAACGCGGAAACTGGGAACGGGAATCGTCAACCCAGCTCGTGGCATACGATGCAAGCCGGGAATGGGTCGTCAGCGACAAACGATACCGCGGCCACGCCGAGAAGAATAAGAGGCGACATGAAAGGGAGCCCGATTTTCCCAAGAGATATGTCTTTATCTACGGCCCCAGGAATCGGCCCGACCAGAGCAACACAGCCCCGAGCAAGCAAGTCGAGTGCTTTGGTACGAATCCAGTCTGGATAGGCTGCGACGCAAGGGAGCAGAAATGTGGGCGGAAAACGGCACACTCAATGTCCACGTCGGATCAGTCTAATGGCGCTTAGTGGACACCACGTCACTCGGCGGAACGCGGTGCGTCGTAAGTGGGAAACGCGGCTATATTTGTGTGTGTGCGTGGGACATGTGTGTGTAACCTCTCAGCGTGCAATAAACAGCGTTCTCCCCTGCCGTGTCGTTCTCGCTACATTATTCCTTCGGGTTTACCCTGGATATGGGGTGTGTGGATGGAGCTGTGGGTGGTGCAGCGCAAGCCACCCATGGTTCCTCTGTAGGCGCAGGCGTCCTGTGGCTGTTCCTGTTCTTGACACAGTGACAGGCAAGTCCGAAACCAGATGCCGCCTACCATATATATATATATATATATATATATATATATATATATATATATATATATATGGTAGGCGGCATCACCAAATGTGCTCACCACCATATAATCCGCAATCAAACAGACAGGTGGAAAGGTTCGTGGATACGTTCAAACGTGTAGTCTGTAAAGCAGCGCAAAGAAGGGCTTCACAGGATGCAATCCAATCTTTCCTATACATGTATCGGAACGCTCCGAACCCAAACTCCCCTTGTGGAAAATCCCCCATAGAAGTATTATTTTGAAGAAAGATCCGGACGTTGTTCGATAATCTTTTACAAAGGAGAATAGGAAAGCACGGTAGTAGTCACCTGGAGGAAGATCGCAAAGTCAGGCTCCGTAACTTCAAGGTTAATAACATGGTTTACGCCCGGGATTTTCGAATGCCGAAGGGGTGGTCGAACGGAACTGTTATCGGTGGGAAAGGCAGAGTTATCTACGAGGTGATGGTTGGAGGTGAGAGAAGGATTCGCCACATCGATCACTTGAGGCCGAACCATGACAAAACCAAAGATCCCCACGAACCACCAGCTTTGCATTGGGACATTCTACTAGACACGTTCGGGCTGGAAGTTGAGGGTTAGCAACCCGGTGGGACAAACCGAATGCCGCGAACATCAGATGCACAATGCAGGCCGGATCGGAAGCGGAGAAAACCACAACGGCTGCAAATCGATCCCCCGGCGAAAAGCTACGAACACAATCAGGTTCGAAGGGTTTGCAAGCTGACTCAATTAGGAAGGGAAGGTGACAGCGGGGCGAGAAAGCTGATTGTCAACGCGCGTGTGTTCCGCACCAATCGTGCTTGGGACAGACCTTGCGAGCGTATTGCCAGGGTCCAGCCGAAGGCTGATGAAATCGCGCGTCAGACATCACGTGCGTTGCCATGCCCCGGGTAGGCGGATGAAGACTGGCCAAACGTTGCGGACAATCAAGTGTGGAGCGTGGGCCTGCAGCCAAATCCGCCAGGCGATGTTTAGAGGATTGGTGAGACCGACTTATAAATATGAGCGTTCTCGGTCCTAATACAACTGTGGTCTGCTGATTCTTCTTCTGTTTTCCTTCCTGTCGGGTTTGCCAAGGCGTCAAACAGAGCAGGCGTAAGGGCGCAGTTACCAGCAGGCGTGAATCAACCGGTCGATTGCGGGTGCAGCGTTATAACAAAGGCTTGGCTTGAATTAATAAATATGAACCAGATTGATCTGCGCTTTAGTACACTACCCCGTCCTCTGAAGCTTCTTGTGATGTGATCAATCTGAGACCGTGCTTAGGTCGGTGAAGTAGCGCAATGTATCCCCGAAGCCTGAAGCTGGTACTCAAGGGAAACAGATTATTGTCATCACACAGCTTGAAAAGTCTCTCTCCATTATCCAATCGGCTCTCATAGAGCGTATGGTGACCATGGAGGTGACTTTCACATGTTGATGGATGATTGACTCATACGTTGAAATCCCCTGCAATAAAAGCAACATGGAATTTAAATGATATGCTCGTGGGCTGGTAAAGCTCACGAAAAAGGTTGTCCTTGACCGAGTCTCAACTGCTGTTAGTTGGAGCGTACGCGGAGATCACAAACAAGTTTCGTCTCTTTCGCGACGTCTGTTGACCCTGCATGAGCACTAAAGGCAAATGCACATAATCGGCTGTTAATCGGGAACCAAACCAGCGCTGCGAAGTCGACTTTGCTACTTAGTGCTAACCAACGCCAGCCAAGCCTGCTTCGGCTGCTTCTGTGTCACCATACAGACGTAGGTGAATTACGGCTCTGTGGTCGATGGGGATGTCAAATCAATCAGAAGACTGAGATCTAGCGATCGGGTCGGGAAAGACAGCAAACATCGATGGTGAGGGATTCCAAGGTACTTGTGAGACCAGCTTACTACGCAATCTGTAAGGGTGTACGTACACTGAAGCATGCCAAACGGAACTCGGACCGAGTTCTATCTACGTAGGCGAAACCACCGGGAGTGGAATCATGAAAACATGAATCACCAGTGATTGGCGGCAAATAAACAGGTGGCGTGTGAAGGAATGTGAGTAGTGAGTGCGAAAGCAGTTGAGCGCGGTGACGATTCATAGTTTTGTCCGTGGGCTTGATTCTACCCCGTCGCCGAAGCTGAATTTGGGATTTGTCTTAGGGGATACCACCCCGAGCCTCTGGCTAACTAGCCTACCAGCAATGCGGCGGGGCGAATTTAAAGAATCGCGTCCATTAGTAGCCACTAACTGATCGCTCAGTTCATACATATTTGTGTCACCAAACAGGGGCCCAGTCTTCCCCATATGTCAGCCACACTCGCGAGATTACAATGCTCCACCGAGACGGAGCAGGGGCAGTGACTTTATTTACTGGCAAAAACCCACCACGTCCTGGAACACTGTTGCTGAAAACTTAGCTGGAACGGTATAATTCCGAACTACCTAGCTGGCACCACGCAGAGGTAGTTCGGCAAGATATCCGTTCAACACTTATACAGTCACGATGTAATGATGCAAGCTGTTTTAAGCTGCTACAGACTTACTGATACTTCCGAGCACTAGTGAAACACCGGGATAACGGTATTACGATGATAGTGAGTGCTCTTAAAAACACGGTTTCCACTTTCTTAGATGTGAAGAAATTTAAGTCCGGGATTAACTTGAAATGCTCTCCATATGGAGGAGAGAGATGCTGCTAGTTGGTAAGACCTTACATCTGGTGGGAGGGAAAGAGATGCAGACAAGGAGAGTGTATTGCATTGGACCTCAAGTGATGGTTGGCGTCATCCGGTTCCGGAGTTGCCTGTCATTGTGGCCTCCAAAGGACAAGCACAGGACGCCTGCGCCTACAGACGTACAGACGCACCACCCTCAGATCCATCCACAAAACCCATATGCAGTGTACAGCCGGAAGATAATATGAGGTGGCATGTAGATAGGAGGTACGTTTCATCAACGGAGCCAGCCCACACTCCTTCAACATGCACAGCAGCGGCATTCCTGTCTATCTAATTTGGGTGTCATGAGTAGCAGACGTACGTGAGGCGGTGGCTGGACCGTAGTCCGCTTTACACTGGGTGGAACCGAAACGTCGAGCCGAGCACTGCCAAGAGGAACGTGCACTCCTTCTCACCGGGAACGATTCTGTCTCTGGGACCAGGTATAATCGAGGTGGAAAGTACTAGCCAGGTAGGCAACTTGTTAACATCCACATCAAGCGCAGACACACCGGGGATATCAAACAACTAAAATAGAATTTGAAGGAAAATAAACATGAGAATTGACACGGAATATGCAGTAGAATAACAAAACTGAGCAAATCAAATAAAGTGGATTGCTTTTTATCCAGATTACGATGATCTAGTTTTAGTGTAAGCCGGCGCAGCCCAAATGCGATGGAGAAGGATGGTGTACGCAACATCAACTTCAGCATAAGCGTGACCTCAACTGATGGTTGGCGGTATCCGGTTACGTAGTTGCCTGTCACTGTTGCTTCTATAGGATAGCCACAGGACGCCTGCGCCTACAGACGGACCATGGGTGGATTGCGCTGCACCACCCACACACCTCATATCCAGTGTAAGCCCGAAGGAATAAGACCGGGAGGCATGTGGATGGGAGCCACGTTTCATCAACGGAGTCTGCCCACACCCCTTCAACATGCACAGCAGCAGCATTCTTGTCTATATACGTGGGGAAGCATGCGTACCAGACGTACACGAGGTGGTGGCTGGACCGTAGTTCGGCCCACACTGGATGGAACCATTTTGTGAGCCTAGCACGGCCACGAGGACCGTGCACCACGTCCCTCCCCAGCAACGATTCAGTCTGCTGGAGCCAGTAATCGAGGTGGAGGGTGTTAGACAGGTAGGCACCTTATCAACATGCACATCAAGCGCAGCCACACCGGGGATATCAAATAACAAACCGAATATGCAGCGGAATAACAGAATTGAACAAACCAAATAAAGTGGAAGTACTTGTATCCAGATTAATAAGACCTAGTTTCAGTGTAAGTTGGTTTAGCCCAACTGCGGTGAAGAAGCATCATGAATGCAACATCAGCCTCAGTATGGGGCACTCCTCAAGTAATGCCTGTACGGTAACACCCATTTTAACCACCGTTGGCACATCAGGGTACATCGTTGCATGGCGATTGTGTTCGGTTAAGGCGGCTACGCTGTTACAACAGCTCACGCGCTTGTCAGCTGATCGGCCTTTATGCGCGCGTTAAGTCAGTAGCCAATGAGGTCGTTAGAAGAACTAACGATTCATATGGACCTTGAGACTTACAGGGTAGCTTGACCAATGGCCACCAGCTCAGCACGTGACTGGAGAAGAGGGGCTGCGCGTGCACTTGTTCTTCGTGTGCACGCCGTCGCGTGCTGGCCTTAGTTGGACCGATGACAAAAGATTCGCAGTCGGGCAGCTGTCGCCCGCGTGGTGGCGATTACAAGGAAGTGGGCCAGATCAAGGAGTCCCAATACGAAGAATTACGCGAGCGAAATAACGCAGCTGTTCGTAAATGTAGAGCCAAGGCACGAGCGTGGAAGATGGAGGTGATTCGAGAGTAAGTTCAACAGAGAATGACTTGCAGTAATCACAGAATTTGATGCAGTGGATGAGGCAGACTTCCATCTTTTCCTGACTACCACGTCACACTTGTTTGCATTTAGTCTCATGAGTCTCTTGTAAAACTAACGTTTGCAAGGAGGATCTCCGATGATATTAGAACGTAGAATGAATATGTAAGGTGATGAGGAGCTAAACTTTGCTTTGAGTTTGCCAACATCCACATTATCCCGTGGTCTGCAGGAATGTTTACCAGTTGCTTCAACAGTTGCTACGGACCACGGTGATTGCGGTTTACTGAAACGGCCTGAATACACTGACTGTTCAAGCTTCTTATCTCGGCCCTTATTGTAGTAATCTGCAGATTCCCCCGCTTGATGTGTAAATCAATCCTAAATACTATGAAATCATAGTTTTCTCATGTATTAGGGAAGTAAGTGGTTTGCATGTTTGTATGGTGCACGTGTTTGTGAGACATACCGACAACATCCGGACTTTGTCCGCGGGCTTGGAAATGAACGTCGGTTCTCCGATCGCACTCAGCATCCTACCACATACTCTCTAGCTACTCATCTTCCGGTGCCCTATTTTTAGTCTTAATATTTATCAATCTTTTAATAAACATTTTTCTAGCGTACTTCTGTGTGTTCTGCCACACGCCTTTGATTGGTTGGCCATTTGAATCTGAGTTTCGGATAGACCGAAGCGTTATATTAATGCTATAGACAGACGTCTGCTAGAAACAGTTTGCTCATATGTTTTTATAAGCACGATCTATTTTTCCTGCGCATGTACTTTAGCAGCGGAGAAGAAAATCTGTCAATCCATTGATCACCTCATTCCGGCTAGTTATCAAAACAGAAATTAGTGTAATCAGTGGGGTGCTGACGTTGAACTGACAGGTGTTCATCTGTGAAATTCGAATAGTAAGTTAAAGGGGCCGTTAATACAACATTTGTGATGTTTAATGTCGGGCAGTTTCGTCGTTTAGCGGTTCGGGACGGCCACATATCAGCACTCGAGTGCTCAGCTTCCAGATGAGCCCTTATTTAATTTATACAGCTTGAAATATAAACTGAATTCATAATGGTTAAACGTAGTCAAACGTCTAACAAATATCCAGGAAAGCACTTGACTGCCGTCTCATCCTTTTTGGAACCGTCAGCAGTATGCATTCCACGACCCTACACTTACGAATCCATAATTAAGACCACTGTGACACGGGGGCGGAAGTGGCTGACGTAGCTGTTACCAGTCGCTTACAAACAACGTGAGATGTTGCGAACATTGCTCAGTGCAGTTGCCCAGAGCTGGTTGTTTGGCGCGTGGACCAAATTCCATTAAACACACGATGGATTCGCATCTAGAAGTCCAACAAGCGATTTGACGCTGAGACACCATGCAAGAGGGGTTGAGCCAAAGTAGGTGATTGTCTCTTAGGCAATGCATTTCGTCTCGTACTGAGATAATTCAGGGTAAGCTCCTTGGTAACAGCTTGACTACATCTACGTTTTGTTCCATAGTTTGAGGCCGATTTAGTGACTTCAGTAACTAGAAAATTCCCATCTCATTATCAGGAACAAAATACCGAAGGTAAACATTTGGTTTCGATGTTTCGTCCTCAGACACGTACAATCATATGAGCGAAATAGCAGTGGGCGTAAAAGCGGATTCGACCAGTTCAAATGAGATTTGATCACGTATCGATCAAGGGTATGAACCACCAACAAACGACAAAATATGACAAATACGTAGTGTGAAAAGTAGTTCCGTTGAGCACCGTAAAAAACGCTGTGAGAAGATGAAAACTGGCAGATGTTAACATTTTGTATTATCTCGTCAGTGTCAATACAATAACAGGAAAATATATATAACAATACCTAGGGTGTGACTGGATTAAATAGAAACTGGGTGGGGTACAGATATGCCACCCCTAAGTACATGGGAGCCTTAAGCTTACAAACAACTGCTTTTGCACACTAAATGCAGGTTTGATCCTGCTGATCGCGACAGCCGCGGCGAAATGTAGGATGCGGCTGTTAGCATGTCTCAACAAGATTGTGAACTGTGTGGCAGGGTCGAATGGATGACAAGTAGACAAAAATTGCCTACCTATGGATGAGGCAGGTGGCTTTCGTGAACAGGTGGTAGACGAAGCGGAAGACTGGATACTTTCACGCTGCACCCACTTAGGTACATGTTCCCTTACTCTGGAATACAACATTCTGTCGGTACGGCCTATGTAGCGTGACTCGCAGCTACAAGTGAATTGGTAAATGCAGTGTGAAATGGCGCCGAAAGCTTGTCTTTCCTTCGTTGGGGGAACAGGCACTTTGTTGGTTCGGTTAATAAGGACAGCTTCGGCAGAGAAATAAGTCCTGTGAACAGCGGAAATTAATCGCTTGGTTGTCCTCATGGTGGCAAGATCACCTTTAAAAGGTAGTTCTATAAAGATCTTCTTTTTGGCCACAGTGGGGACCTTTTCTCTCGCCACTCTCGTTTGGCTATGTTTTACGATAAACCGGCGAGGATAACAGTTTTTCAAGAGCGTATTAGTCAACAGCTCCTGTTCCTCTTCCAGGCAATCGGAGCTACATATTCTTCTTGCGCGATTGAACAAGGTCTTGACTAGTGTCCGCTTGTACCGCATTGGAGTGAAGCTGGTAAAATGCAGGTACTACCCGGATCATGTCGGTTTTCGGTAAACAGATCGTTTGATGAGACCGTTTTCTCTACGACTAATCAGTACGTTCAAAAATGGGAGACAGTTGTTACATTCTACTTCGCTGGTTACTCTCAAATTTGTATGTACACTATTAAAATGTTCGACAAGACGTGCAATCTCTGTTGTTGTTGATGACGAGAACACTAAGATATCGTCTACGTAGTGTTTGTAGTAGGAAAGGCGGGAAATTCCTGCACTCATTTTCGTCTCTACCATGGACATAAACAAATCCGCTAACACGGGACCTAATGGACTCCCCATTGCTACACCATCTACCTGGCGGTATGGGGTGTTTCGAAAGTGGAAACTGATATTTTCAGTGCAAAGTAACAGGCTGTCTTTCAACAGCTCAGTTGGTATTGGAAGAGATAAGCTGGAATGTTCCGCCAACTCACACACATACTCAATGGTCTCACGTAGTGGAACATTTGTGAACAACGATTGTACATCTAATGGACACATGACAATATCTGACGAGTCTATGCTGTCAAGAGTTTCTATGAGTTCAAATGCGTCCTTGATACTGTAGGGAATAACATGGTTCTTTAACGACGCAAGAATGTCCACAAGCCAGCGAGCAAGCTTATGTTGCGTGGAATTTACCATTGTTAGAATTGGTCTGAGGAGGGTACCACTCTTATGAGTCTTCGGTAACCCGTACATTTACGGCGTGGTGGACCCACCTGGTTTTGGGCTATTATACGTCCTCTCATCGATCGTTCGAGGTGTAAGAAATATTTTTAGGTGATTTGTGATGCGACCTTCTACGTCGAAACTATTGTCCACTCTCTTGAAACTTCTAAATTTGCTGTCCTCGCTAAGAATAACCTGCATCTTTTGCACGTAATCCGCCGTATTCATAACAACGGCTCCGGAGCCTTTGTCCGGTCTAAGTACCAGTACATCTTTGGTCTTCAGCTTTCGAAGTGCATGAATATGACGTTTTGTAAGTGCACATCCTTCTTTCACTGGGGTCAACATGAACTCATGAGCAATATCAGCTAATTTGTTTATAAACCAGCGATGTTTATCTGCACTATCCGGCTGGAGGTCTGTTAACTGATCAAAAAAGTTCTCGAACTGGGCCTCTATTAACAAACGGTTTAGCCTACCAGGAGGAATGTTATAATCCAATCCGAGCGACAATGCCTCCGTGTAAGTTATCTAACGGAACGTTTGACAGGTTCAACACAAAATCATTAGGGTCACGAGAAATGGTCTCCTCTTGGTTATCTATCAGTGAGTTTTGTAGGCGATTTCTGCATTTCTCCTTGGTACGGTGGACGGTATATTTGCAGAAATTACTGAATACTCTCTTCAGCACAAAGATCAGTCATCTGTAACGGACATCAAGGGCATATGAGTTTCGAGTAAGTTTCGTTTGTGCCGTTTCTATTTGAGCGGAGGCAATGCGTCTGAAGTTGCCATGGGACGGTTTGCGTTTGTTTTGACGCGGCAGTTTTAATATCGAACGTGGATACTGACGACGAATTCCCGTTGATTCTCAGGCAACTACGCCGTATAGTTAGCCTGCGATGCAAAATTTCATGGCTGCCGTGTGGAGCTATCTTTCCTTTCTTGCGTCAGTAGACACATTCGATTTTAAAACTACTGCGTAAAAACAAACGCAAACCGTCCCATGGCAACTTCAGACGCATTGCCTCCGCTCAAATAGAAACGGCACAAACGAAACTTACTCGAAACTCATATGCCCTTGATGTCCGTTACAGATGACTGATCTTTGTGCTGCAAGAGAGTATTCAGTAATTTCTGCAAATATACCATCCACCGTACCAAGGAGAAATGCAGAAATCGCCTACAAAACTCACTGATAGATAACCAAGAGGAGACCATTTCTCGTGACCCTAATGATTTTGTGTTGAACCTGTCAAACGTTCCGTTAGATAACTTACACGGAGGCATTGTCGCTCGGATTGGATTATAACATTCCTCCTGGTAGGCTAAACCGTTTGTTAATAGAGGCCCAGTTCGAGAACTTTTTTGATCAGTTAACAGACCTCCAACCGGATAGTGCAGATAAACATCGCTGGTTTATAAACAAATTAGCTGATATTGCTCATGAGTTCATGTTGACCCCAGTGAAAGAAGGATGTGCACTTACAAAACGTCATATTCATGCACTTCGAAAGCTGAAGACCAAAGACGTACTGGTACTTAGACCGGACAAAGGCTCCGGAGCCGTTGTTATGAATACGGCGGATTACGTGCAAAAGATGCAGGTTATTCTTAGCGAGGACAGCAAATTTAGAAGT